TGGGAAGAGTGGAGGAGGTCGGTCAAGTTAGCAGGGGGTAGGGTAGGCTTCCCTGAAGAGATGGGTTTTCAGGGTGCGCCTAAAGGAGAGGAGAGTAGGTGATAATCTGATGGGTTGGGGCAGGGAGTTCCAGAGGATGGGTGACACCCTGGAGAAGTCCTGGAGGCAGGCATGGGAGGAGGAGACCAGGGAACTAGAGAGAAGGAGGTCTTGTGAGGAGCAGAGTGTGCGTGCTGGGCGGTACTTTGATATTAGGTCAGTGATGTAGTTCAGGGCAGTGTGGTGGACGGCTTTGTACGTCAGTGTTAGGATTTTGAATTTGATCCGTTGCGCAATCGGAAGCCAGTGGAGGGATTGGCAGAGTGGGGTGGCGGAAACGGAGCGGTTGGAAAGGTGAATGAGTCTGGCACCCGTATTCAGGATCGACTGAAGCGGGGATAGCCAGCAGCGAGGCAGGCCAGTGAGGAGGGAGTTGCAGTAGTCGAGTCATGATATGATGAGGGAGTGGATGAGCTGTTTAGTGGTTTCTGGGGTTAGGAACGTGCGGATTTTGGCGATGTTGCGGAGGTGGAGTCTGCACGAGTTTGTTAAAGATTGGACTTGGGGCTGGAAGGATAGGTTGGAGTCCAGAATGACACCAAGTACTCTGGCCTGCAGGGCGGGTTTGATATTGGCGTTGTTGGATGTGATGGAGAAGTCAATGGGGGGTGGGGTCCGGGCTGGGGGGAAGACAAGAAACTCGGTTTTGGAGAGGTTCAGTTTAAGGAAGTGGAGCGACATCCAATCTGATATGTCGCTCAGTAGGTGTGTGATTCGGGCAGAGACCGAGGGGGTGAGGTGGGGGGTTGAGAGATAGATTTGTGTGTCGTCGGCATAGAGGTGGTAGTTGAAGCCGTGAGCGTGTATGAGTTGGCCAAGGGAGGAGGTGTAGATGGAGAAGAGAAGGGGCCCGAGGACGGAGCCTGTATATACAGTTCTGATAGAAACTGAATCCATGCCTCAGTGCTTCCAGATCACACTACTAATTAAGACAACATATTAACCATAATATAGTTAAAATAGCAATTTCTGTATGTGTAGTGCTAAGTAAACTGTGCTGCCAAGTGAGTGACTAATAAAGCAATTGTTTGATTTTCTGCAGAAGAGATTGAAGTGGACATTGAGAGCACGGAATTCTCTCCCCTGGAAGTGGACAGTTCCAGTAGCACCAGCATCAGTGACCTGGATGACCACAATAGTATGCAGAGTGCAGCCAGTGACGAGGGTTACTCCAGTGCTCCCATTAATCTGGCGTTCCACTCGTAGAACCCATTCCGGATGGCCAACTCACACGACGAAACATGGGTGTGGATTATACTTTCTGCTGGCAGTTATCTGTGGTCCACTCTTGGTTTTTGATATTTCCTCCAGCCATGAGTTGCACAAGCGTTGGGGACTTTTATCCACATGCTGGACCCAAATCTTCCAGCCAGCATACAATCGTACAATTACTTGAAGATCAACCAACTTTTTTAATACTGGAGATTACCAGGGTCTAACTTGAGCACAACCTGATCCAGCTCTGTGGTTGTATTTTTTGTAGGCTCAGAACTTGATGACATATTTTATGCCTTAATTTGGCACCTAGAAGACTTTTCTAAAAGGAGATACCTTACAGATTGTTGTTGCTGGCCTGTCTGCTGGTTTCAACGCCAAAGTATTTTGGAGAAGTATTGTAGGTTTATGAAGCCAGCCTTATCTAGGACCCACACATAATGGTCTTCAAATGTTCTAGGGCTTTCAAATACCAGCAGTCTTCTCTGACCACCATTGGTTTGGGAGTTCCCAAGAACCATGGATCTGGAAGGCGGCCGCTTCAGAAGGCACTCTACTTGAGCGTCTGTTCTTTTATTTTATTTCACCTCTTTTGGACTTCCTCTGTTTACAGAGAGTTTTACTGGTTAAATATCCACTAATGGGGACACTTATAAGATGAGCAGTGACCAATTACAAGGATGTTATAATGTAAAGAAGACCACCATTAAGCAATATTTGTATCAAAAATTTAAAATAGTTTCTATGTAAGCTAGTCAGACAACCCATTATAATTTTAGGAAAACTACAATCCCTTAAAAGCATATTTTTTTAATAGTTTCCCTATGTTGAGGTAATGTGCAGAAAATGTAATTTTATGGCCACCCTTTCCCCTCAGCAAGCCTTACCTGAGAAAGTCTGAACAAGGGGAAAACCGTTCAGGATCCATAATGCGATGGTGGTTTTAGATGCTATGCTCCTGCATGAGCTGTAGGAGTGGGCTAATACCTCTCTTATTGACATGATATTCTGATTGTTTTTAAAACAAGATTTATTTAAAGACTAACACTGGGCAGTTAGAAAAAAATCACTAAACTTGTCCTTCCCCTAGACAAAAATGTAGTGTGCATTGCTCCCTGGGTCACTCTTCCCAAGACCCGAGTGTTTGACACCTCTATGATTAAGCCCAGCTTTGTAGGTGAAACAAGTCAGAGTAAGAGGTTTTAGGCGGGATTCTGCATGTTTGACCTGAACAATAAAGTTTTAACTTTTGTACTTTCCTGGAGTGCAGCCAACTTTTTCTTTGTCTCCCCCTTAATTAATGAAGGATCTAGCACTCATTTTGTCTACGGGATGGGCTAGCACAAAGTAATATGGTTGATTTGCCTGCTAGCCCATCCATAAGTTAAATCAAACACTAGACTAGACTGCTCATCAGCTGTAGGGAAGAGGGGACTTGTGCTTTAAGTTTTGAGATTTGACGTATCATTTTCCTGCAAAGCTTTCAACTTCCATGTAGTTAAAACAATAAACAGGGATTCGCTGTGGAACTGCAAGTCACAAATAATGTATATTTGATTTCCACTAACAACTGAATCCTCCCCTAACTCCCCTTTATTTTTAAATCTCATATTTGTAATTTTGTTTTAAATGAAATTGTTAATGTTTTTGAAATGGGATCTAACAAATTCATTTGTGAAATAAATCCAATACAATTGGAAATATATCAGTTAACGACACAAATGTATACCCAATCACTAAAACCTCATATGATTTTAACATGTTAATATAACTTGTCAGTCTTTTAAATCTGCAGCATATATTAAAATAGTAACTGGTGCTCCTGCCATTAACTTGCACAGTCAGGCACTTCCTGTTATGGGGTGACAACTGAAAACAGCATTTCATGAAAAAATATGGGGTTACAGCTACTTTAAAAATTATACTTTTGTTAGATTCCACTTGAAAAATAGTAGAACAAAGTTTTAAAAAAAAATTGTTTGTTAGTAATAAAGATAGGGATTGGTTGAACTTTGCACCTTCCAGCTTTGAGCTTACGGCCAAAGCACACAAACAAGTCCCTTTCTCCAAAACACAGGTAATCAATAGCCTTATTCTTAACCTGATTTACCTGCTTGATAGTTATTCCCAATTTAAGGATTACGTAATGTTACCCAAAAACAGACACCTGTTAAAGATAAGTTGAATATTATATGGCTTGACAATATATCATAGTTTCCTGGTCTGCTCAACTGATGACATTTTCAAAAAGACTAATGGTAGTGTTGCTCAACCCATATGGACTCTCCATAATGCAGAATTAGTGAATACACTATATGGGCTACAGTGGTGGACACTTGACTATCACATGTAGATGAGCTTGTTGGACATCCCATTAATTTGGACATCCCAATAATGTTAATTGGACCCATTCAGTTAGAAGAGCACTTGTGAGGACAGGTACTGATGATGGATAAGAAGGCCAACTCGCAGTGTTCCAGTTCATCCCAAAGGTGTTCAGTAGGGTTGAGGTCAGGGCTCTGTGCAGGCCACTTGAGTTCCTTCAATTCAAACTGGTCAAACCATGTCTTTATGGTGTTGGCTTTAAGCACTGCAGCACAGTCATGGTGGAACAGAAAAGGGCCTTCTCGAAACTGCTACCACAAGGATGGAAGCGAACATTTGTCTAAAATTACATTCTATGCTGTAGAAATAACATATTTTCATACACATAGTAGGTGTGATGATCAGGTGTCCACAAACGTTTTGGCTGTATTGTGTATCTTCAGAGTTCTGTTGAGGGAAGGTAACACCATGGTTCTGGTTTTCTGGAGCAGGATTAAAAATACAAAATATTACATGCAAATCTCACTGTCTCAGAAGAGATATAAGAAACTAGAGAATTAATTGTCTCACATTTCATATATCTAATATAGATTTTGATGCCCTTTTCCATAACAGCCCTGGAGAGGTTACTAAAGCTATTAGTTTTGATCATCAGCTAATTTTTTGTCTCCCCCATGTAATATTTATGACATAGGTTCTGTAATGCTAGATTAGAGAACCTCATGTTGTAGTTTTGAGTTTCTTTTTAAAAGAATATAAACTCAATTATTCAACTGAAACTTGGAATTAGATACATTCAAATGGGACTGCAAACTAAAAAAATACCCACCTTTTGATTTCGATCATGCAGTGGAGACAACACGTCTTTCCAAACTATGGGCTAAAAATGATGCTCCACTCTAAATGTATTCTGTAGTCATGCCATTGTGTACTCCTATATGCAGCTAAGACTTGGTTGTCTTCCACCTTGTAGCTACACTCCTGGGGTTTGAACATTTTCTTAGCGTTTTCACCATCTTGAAGAAAACTTGACCCCTCTAGAATTTATTGTTACGTGTCCGATTGCATATGCACTAAATGTTAGTTTGCCTTCGCATCCCAGCTAGTGGTAGATGATCAGTCGGTTTGTGGGTGCCTATGTGTTCCGTCGGTATGCAGGACTGTCTCTTAGACACGTACTACATTCAACTTTGTAAGTTGCGTCAATGTTGCGATCCATTCTTTGACCATCTCACTGTAGTGAGCTGAGGTCTTTGAGGCTGTCATTGTTGATGTGTTCTCAGAGATGACCTCTATCCAGGCAATTGCCTGCAACAGTGTTTGTTTTAGGTTGTATTTTACTCTCTTAGAAGTCATTTTAGCATGTTTTCATTTCAGTACTTTGCCAGAAAAAGATGGGGTAAGGGATGAGCAATATTAAAAAAAAAAAAGTATTTAATTTAATATTCTGAAAATATTATTTTAATGGACCATAAAAAAAAATAGTCACCAGTTACTAATATATCATTATCACTAATAAATGCCACTGTGGGATACAGTAAGCTTTAGATCAAGCAGAAAAAATTGGAGAACACTGTTTAAGTACGTTAAATGATTTAATTTGCTTTAAAATAAAGCTTAACTCTAGATATATTTTTTAGCTTTGGATAGAGTGGGAAAGAATTAATATTTGTCATAATTGTATTTTGTTTCTCTTCCTGATTCTGTGACACCCATAAAAGAAATAAAGTGTGGGTGCCTCACCAGACAGGAAAGCACAGACAGCAAAAAAAAAAAACGAAAATTGTATCAAATACTTACTGTACTTTTCTTTTCCTGGCACCAATCCATGGCAGCATACATGTGGTTGTTTGCTGCCATGTTCGTGCCAGGAAAAAAGAAAATTGTATCAAATACTTACCGTAATTTTCCTTCCCTGGCATCAATCCATGACAATAGGCTACTGGGTATATGCTGCCATGCTGGCACGGGGAAATAAAGTTTTAACCCTTCTCGACTCTGCAAAAAAATGTTTTTTGTGTGCCTCCATTGGAGAGATTTCCCATCACTTCCTGTGCAGATAGGAAATTGGGGGAAATCGTCTTAACAGAGACACAGATGGCAATAGAGCTTGTAACCCTGCCAATTTCTCTCCACAAGGAAATAAAGTCTATAGTTTGTCAGCACTTGGGTTTAGCTGCTGTACAATGACCATGCAGAGAAAGCATTCTGTGGGCAAATCCTGAATTCTCTTAAAATTTTGTAGAGGATTTCCAATGCACAGTGTTAATGAACTGAGCCTGTGTAGTTTGCCTAGTCAGCTCTTCCCCCACATTCAGTCACGCTCCCTGTATTAATCAACCAACAGACCATGGACCTGCAAAAATGTTAATTAATTCTGAATGAGGTCATTGTCCGCCCTTGCTTGCCCCCTCCTGCATTTTAATTAGGCCTTGTAAACTAACTCTGGTGCTAAACACGAACATTGTCACTTCTTTTTCATTTGTTTTTTTTGTCTTGCACTTTTTTTATTTTTAATTTGCTATTTATGTGATCTTATTAAAATGTTGCATTTACTTACTTCATTTTCTCTAAACCACAAGGGGAAACTCTCATTTCTGGCATGATTAAAAGTATGCATCCAGTCCATCTGAGTGGTGGAATTGGCTATCTAAAGTAGCAGTTTA